CGTGGCGTGCAGCATTTTTGAGCGTAGATTTGGTCACAATTTTTCAAAGGAGCAGTGACCACTGTATCTTACGCGCTTATATCATACCGAGTCAAGAAGATATTCCAAGCCAACGCTGTAGTGTCAATCCGATGTCACTAGACAGGATGTATTGCGGTATACTACCATAGTCGTCGGCCACACGTGATCAATCCAGTGATCAATATCAATCAATTATTAAATCAATTTAGCTAGATACTATTACCTGCTCTGTTTATATAACGATAGACGCTATAATGGCTGTCTAAATCATGATTACTCTAGGCCTTCGGTCCAGTACTATATCTACCTTAGAGCATACCTTAGAGTATCTACAAGAGTAGACAAGTTCTAGTAGTTTACAGTGGTTCTTAACCTTTTTGAGTCAGACCCCTTTGAGTATCTGGTGAAACGCTGACGGACTCCTCCCCATAAAAATCACATGAACACAACATTTTGCATGCGCCCTGCGTCACGCGAGCCCCCTGAAGCCCAGCGACGCGACGTCCAAAGAAGTCCATGAACATCACAGGAATCATAGTGGCCCTCAGCGCTGCTGTCATAATGTGCGCCAACTACCGTAGTAATGCAGCGGCGGACGATTGCAGACCGCGTAACCTCGCGTGGCCCCGCACGTCGTCTGACGACGTCGGCGGGCGCCGGCTTGAACGTTTCAGCCGCGTCGTCGTCTCAGTATAGCTTTGGGCCCGTTCGTCGTTCTCCGAAGGCTGACGTCACTCGCGTGCGCTTATCGTGAACGAGCGGATGGTGTGCAGCACGATGGCTCGCACGCATACCAGAACCATGTCACGTGATTACGATTTCTCCGGCCATATTAAAACGCCGAAATAGAGTACATCTCGTGGTTATTATTATTATTATTATTGTTATTATTATCATTATTTTTATTATTTAAACAGATTACGCATCATTGCTCTCACGCTACGATAATATTAAGTAACGATCGCGCGCGTATAAAAAGCTATTGTGAGTATAGTTATTTCATAATTGTCAGTAACGAGAGCCGAATAGGAGACCGCCCTTCCTGCTGACACATATATTACTACTCGGTTACGCAAAGGGGGAATGTTAGAGCCCACATGAGCTTGCCCACATGTGGAAGCAGCACCCCTACGGCGAGTATAAACAAAGAACCTATAATAATTATTATAGGTGCTTCGGTGTAAGGTATATTCTTATCTGGTGACAGAAGGAGGTCAGCATAGCTATTCACTTAACGTAAGAGTCCACAAAAACTCATTGAATGGCGGCTCCTGTCGGCGTAACGTATATAAGAGTATAACTTATGTAAGAGATAAAAGATATAAGAGATAAGTAAGAGATGCAGTAAGTTAGCTGACCTTAGCAAAGTAGACTCGATTAGTCGTCAAGCTGATTCGCTGCTTAACATTTGCGTGGTTCAGGTCTCCCTCCGGGAAGGAACTCTCGTTCCTGTTGTGTACTATAGTCGGAGCGCGTGCTGGCGATATAGAAATACGAGCGTTGCTAGACATGCTCGATTCTGACTTCCCCGCTTTAACTGTCGAAGCTACCGCTGGCCTCACATCATGCGAAAGGTCCGTTAGTAATTACATTGTTAATCCCACGCGAATGAAATGAAAACTGATTTTTAAGCAAATTTCCCACGATGACTCGCGTGTGGTTCAGAATGGATATAAGAACTATGTCGCATGCCGCGAAACCGAGCGTTCATGGCTTCAAGCCTTCATGAAGGAAGGGCGTCCCCGCTGGCACCTGCATGTTTTGCCACTTACTAGCTAGACGTGTTCATGCTCGTTTTTACGCAAAACAACGATGAGAAATAATTCTAATATGGCTGCCTAATTAATGTAGAAGGTTGCGTTCTGACTGGTTTGGAATTTGAACGCACCAGGTTGAACGTTAGCGGGCCCAGCAGAGGAATGGCGCGATCAAGGGGAGATCTTTAATTTCCTGCCATGAAAGCGTATAATTATGTGAACCACGACAAAGCGCCTATAGTAATTTCGAGCCATACTAAAGAAAACGTTAGTATATGGGCTCACATTATGACCATTATACCTTCGATGGTGGTTGGCATATAGGAATCGGTAACGGTAGACGTGTAGCCATCCCAACCGACACTGCTCAGCTGCTGAGAGTCGTCTCCTAACTTAAAGTTAGTCTTCTGCAGGTAACGGGCGGCGCTGCTGGTGCTGTAGCAGGCGCTGTCCGGTACGTGATAGCTCTGTTGATGCGTACTAACGTGCGGCATCTCCATCACACGATCCCCTACTGGGATGCTGCTGGCCGATGACTGTATAGAGAGAGCCACATGTCACACGTTGTTTTGACCGGCGCGACGGTAAGTTATAAGCACTGATCTCTCAATACTTAAGTATGCGCTGAGATGTGCGCATGTATTGTGGTTTAAGCTCAGGATCCTGCTGCGATATATATTAACGCGTGGTCTAATTGTAATCGTAATCGATATTTAATAATGATTTGCTGATTGGCCTTGATATGATTTGGGACAGTTTTATGCAGCCATGCTGTGAACCGGCCGAGCATGATCGAGGCGATTACAATCGCCAGCAAGAGGAAAAAGAGAAGGAGCGAAGGTAAGGGGCGCGAGAGAGCGAGCGAGAGAGAGGGGGAGACAGACAGCCAGGGAAATGCGACTACCAACGGAATGAGAGAAACACGGGGTAGAGTTCTTCCGCGGAACGTAGAGGTGCTTGTTGTGAGAAAGTTGTCCCGCCTGTCGTCGCCTCGTATCGTGCTCGTGATCGCTGCGGGCGAACAACGGTAACATCACCACTCTACACACACACACACACACACACACACACACACACACACACACACACACACACACACACACA